GCAAACGCCTACCGTTATTATGAATATCATTTCGCAGACATCATTAAAATTCATAGGTACGCCCATTTCGCTATGCTGCTACTGTACTGCAACACAGTGGAGCCTTCTCTATTCCATATGCAGTGTAAATTGAGGGGCCAAATGGAGCAGAGAGGGAGGGCTTCTCCCTCGTCGACTTTACTGAGGGGAGCCGATGAAGGGAGGAGGGATGGAATGATAGTCTTCATGCAAAGTGGATTAAACTGTCTCAAACTTGCATCTTGAGTACATTTCGCAGGTCTTGGTTACGAATTTCTGTAAGGTATGATAACGAAATGAACTTTTCATGCAGATAATTCTACTTAGTCGTGCTTTTAATATCTGTCTCCTTCATATTTACTGTGATCCGGAATAAGCCAGTGGGTTTAGAGTGTCTGGCTGCAGTTCGAATGACCAGGGTTCGCTTACCGACAAGACTGGTAATTATTCACTTTGATAACAGGTTGGTCTGCCACTGGCCCTATCCGGTCTTCTCTTCGGTGGATACTTTGACCACTTTCACGAGAGGATAAAGCGACCTGGGCGTGAAGATGTCCAAATGTAAATATCACAGAGAATAACGGAAAAGTTCTCTTACGGACAAGGAAGGAAATCGGTTTAGGCCCAAGTATGAATACAGTTTCTATGTGAGCATGATAGGTAACCAGATCAGCTACAAAATCATAATACAGCCGTACAGTATTTCGGATGGGAATGTTTCAGTATTCAAATATCATGTCAGTTTTAACAAGTTTGGACGAGGTTCATGATGAAATTAGGGGAAGAATAAATTCTGAAAATGCATAAGCCTATCAGTCAGTAAAAAAAAAACTGTTGTCATCCCATGTACTTTGCACGACGCTGAGAGCCCGGTGTTATAATTCTGAGTTATTTTCTGTGACGTGAAATGTCCCTTACTTCGAGGAAAGAATGTAAAATGCTAGTGTCAGAAAATAAGGTAAACCGAAAATATTTGAATCCAAGGAGGAAGAAGAAAGTGAGCAGTTAGACTTTTGCATAAAGAGGAATTTGATGATTCATTCAGATCACTTATTACTGCTAGGGGAGTTCCATCTTGGATGGGCCGGGCATGTAGCTAGCATGGAGAGATAAGAATGCATAGAGAATTTTTCGGACAAAACGTCTTAAAAATGTCCAATATTAAGATGAATCTTAAGAATGTAGGTTGTCTGCATATGTATATGTGTGTGTTTGTGTGTGTGGGGGCGGGGGGAATAGAACAGGTCAAGGGTCGTATGAATTGGCTAGCTTTAGTATTAGTTGGGTGAACTTTCAGGTTCATCTGAACATCGCCGCGGGAAAAGTTAAAGTTTCTTGTGTGCTGTTTTCCCACCCCTGGTCAGGAACATCATGGTAAGTGATTAAATACACGCTTTCGTCGTCTTCAGAAAGAAATACAATTTTAATTATAAATTAAGCGTTTCTCTACTCCAGCTGACCATAAATCTTTGTTGTATTCTGCTGTTTGGTTTTACAGGAATGCAGTTTTCATGTTTCCTTTTAAGTATTAGATGACACCCAGATCAGTTTACCAGTACTTCCAATATAAAGGTAATTATTATATCAAATGAAGTCAACTGGAATGCTTATTTCTCTGTAAGCTTGCAGAGTGCAAGAATTGCGTAATTGCCAGATACTTCTGCTGATTGCAAAGTAAATATTCAAACATTTGTAATTAAATAGACATTTAAAGCGCCAACATGTGGACATGTGTTGAATGTTGAAAGCCGTGAAAACATATGCATTGGAAGCTTAAGAATATAATGAATGTCGTCATATTCAGTTGAAGTTAATAGACATTGCGTTTGGAGTGGCGTGTTGTTGACTTGTCTAACCAGTAGCAGGTTGTCGAGTGCGCCGGCGCCTAGGGCCGAGGTTTGTATTGGTGCAAGAGCCCGTCCTTCTGCCAATCAAATGAAGACTCTGTAACAAAGTTCGTTCTATTTCTTTCTTATTTTCAATTTGTTGTTTATAGGTTTATTTAACGATGTCTATCAAATGCACAGTTTAATAATGTCGGTGAAAAATTAAAAGAATGGTGAATTGTAAGCCAGTAAGGTGAAGTTTGTTGTGAAAAGAGTTAATTTTAAGAAGCTGAAAGATACGGAAAATAAATTGGAGTATGAGGTTAAAGTGTCAAATAGGTTTGCAGCTTTCGGAAGCTTAGATAATAATGTGGAAACCAGTCGGCCTTGGGAAGGTATTAAGAAAAAATACACAGCTGAAACAGTCTGGATTATTACGAGTTAAAGTCGCAAAAACCACTGTTTGAAAAAGAATGAGGCTGTCGGCTGATGTGGCACTCGTAGGAGAGATGAGAAATGCGTGTAAAATTTTTGTCGGAAAATGTGAAGGAAAGAGAATGCTTGGGAAATCTAGGCGTACATGGGTATAGTGGATCATAAACAGAGTATCATGATCAGAGCTAGAGTCATCTGACTCAGAATAGGGTCCATTGGCGACATCTTGGAAAACGATGAAAAGTATGAGTCAGGTGAGACCCGCCCCAGATTTGGCGTAATGCGTAGTCTGACACCCTGAGACGATGAGAGTTTACAAGTGCAGAAGGCTACCGCTGTAGTAGCTTGCTAGAAACAAAATATGTGTCTGTGTGCATGATTTTGTCTTAATTCTGGTAGTTTTGTAATCTCCTCGAACTATTTGTTAGAGTCGAATCTGTTGAAGCCGGTGAACTGTCTTCACTCCCTCTGAAGCCGGGATCGTGGGTTCGAATCCCACTCAAGGCATGGATGTTTGGTATGTGTATGCGTTTATTCGGTGTTTGTGTTGTCCTGTGTTTAGGTATAGGCCTTGCGACGAGCTGATCACCCGTCCAAGGAGTCATACCGTCTGCGAAAAAAATCATGAAACTGAGAAATCAGCCCTATGCTCCAACGTGGGAGCAAAAGGAGAGAGAGAGAAATCTGTTGAAATTGTCTCGCATGATCCTCTAAAGGTTTGTGACAATAGTCGATTCATTATATGAATATTATGATCGTCATTGTTCAATGTCTGGGATATATTTAGCATACACCATTTTGGAAACAGTCCGTTTCCACCATCAGGTGTAGGGAGAAGCTGGATCTTGATCAGATCTCAGTAGGATCCTCCTTCCTACCTTACATGTGAAGACAGAAAGATTCATTTTCCGAAACTCTGTATGTTAAATGTGCCCCAGACAGTGGACAGTGGACAGAATAATACTCGTGTAGTGCCTCCTTTACGCCGTGTCAGTCTCAGGCACGCACGCATGCACCTCAGTACACGTCCTCCTATAAGCTGTCACGAAGGAGTTACAACCAAGAGTCTTAGTGAAACGTTTAGGTTCTGTATGTCTGATAGAATTCAACGGACACCCAGTTCCTCGTGCTCCACAGCGGAGCGTGGAGACTCCGAGCTTACGACTGGTGTATCAAAGTTAAATGGAATAGGTAACAAGAAGTTCTAGTAAGAACTGATCACTATCCTTCCATTGATCGGACACAGGTCGCACAGAAGACGATGTCTCCAACAATTCTTGTTTGCCGCGGGAACGTATGTACTGAGCTGTTGCTCAAGGTATACACAGTCCAGTCCAGTAAATTGCTGCTGGCCCTCGCCAGCACAGTGATTCTTAGTTCCCAGTTCCAAGGGACTCATGACCATATTTTACTGTATGACGGCTCTGAGAGCCTTCAGACTACCGCTTGAACGGTACATGTACTAAAACTGGGAATACACGGACCCACAGACTCTCCTCTGATACGACACGGACCGAATAGGAAACGACGTGTCGGACAGTTTCTATTGTTGCATGTATTCCTTGCCACGGAAACGTGACTACCGAGCCGGGGCCTAGCAACAGTATGGAGCTACTCATGTAGACACAGATTTTTGGCAGGAATTTATGAATCACGCCGTTGGGATGGGCGTAGGTGCCATGATATACATACCGCCTTTCTTAAAAACTGGTTCAGGCATTCAGAAGTCGAGGGGGGGATACGCAGACACACAGACAGCAAGATGATCTCATGAGCCTGCTTTTAGTTTTTGAAAAAAAAAAAAATAGAAACATAGGCTGAAACCTGCTTGTTACGGAATCCGAACGGACTTAAACATGTAAGTTTTTGAGGTTTTCACGGCGATGACTATGAAGACTACTTTCTTCGGACTTGAACATGTTTTCCATTTCAGCAATGTGTATTACTAGTATACAGATAGTTATAGATGAGAACATGTTGTTTGTAGGTCACATAATGTATTTATATATTTACAAACAAATTACAAGCTTGAAACTGGTGTCGCTATAGACCACACGACACTGTATGTACTGAGAAGTTGACGCTCACACTCACTCATGGAGCTGAGCCCTTCTTGGTTCCCAATATTTATGGAACCCGAAGGCTCATTACCATGTTCACAAGAGCTCTCCACTCGTCCCTATCCTGAGTCAAATCAATCCAGTCCATACCATCCCATTCTATCTCTCATAAGATACATTTTATTATTATCCATCCACCTACGCCTTGGTCTTCCTTGTGGCTCTTTCCTTCTGGCGAATATATTGAAAGCAGTCTGGGACCGTCGACAAGGGGTGGTCCTCCCGCTGGGGGGTTTGACATGAGGTTAACAACTCTTCACCGAAAAAATAAGCTTGTTACGAAAGATCACAAGAAGCCTCGGACCTGAGAAGTAGACCCTGCAAATGTTTAATTCTCTTTGGCCTTACCTCCCTTCTTTGTTTTTTTTTTCTCTTCATTTCTTTCCCTCTTTTTTTTCAGCTTTCTTTCCTTCTTTACGTATTTATTTGTTCTCTTTTCCCACTTGAAAATTCTGCACATATTTTGTCGCCCGCATTAATACCAGGAAGAAGAGCAATGAATCTCAGGCTGTTTTCCGTCAGTGCCTCTCCTGTTGTCCTCTGAAGCATTGAACGGTTTCTGATTATATTGACTTGGTTTCCACACCATGTTCTGTTGCAGCTACACGGTGAGTGTAGGCGTGGTGGACAAGCTCGCCCTATATTGCGGCGGTGTCCGGGATCCTATCGACGGCGACCCGCAAGCGGGCCAGTTCCTCCTCAGTTGCCTCGAGCTTCTCACTACCCTGGCGGCCAGGTACGTTCATTGCATTGCATTGCAGCATCCTGGTGCACTTTGTATTCCAGTTTTAGTACTCTCGCTTCACTGGCTCTGTGTAACTTCGCATATATTAAAATTCACACTTCGAAGCCTCTTTGTGTAGCCTCAGAGAACAGCTACGCACAGCACACCAAAAAATATGCAACGTAACATTTTTGCACAGCAAAAGTAATAGCGACATGATAATCTAAAATAAAAACTTTAAATATTTTATGAGCATTTTACATTACAACAGAACAGCAGTATATACGCCTGATGATGCCCACTTAGTCCGAAACATGTAAAGTAAATGTGAAGTTAACTAATTGAGCACTACGCCAAGAAGACGTATGGGGGAGCGGATGTATAGATCCACAATTTCTTGACCTCTGCAGTAGTTGGAGGCAGTGGTCAGCTTCACGCCTCCGCCGCTTTACCTCCAGGGAAACAGCCTCCGGTGCCCATTATATTGGAGGTTCGGTGGACCCCAGACGACATGGAAAAGTGAAAATTCTTGACCCTACCGGGACTCCGACCTCTCGGTCACCCAGCCCATAGCCGACTCCTGCCCGAAGAAGATCCTTCAAAGTATGAATTTTAATATACGGATGAAGTTTCACAGATTTGAGTGAGAGGAACGTGAAGGCCCGGTTAGAGCTCTACGCTTTCGTACGTTCAGTTTTTGATGGTGCCTGCCTGCCGCATAGGCGACTGAATGGTTGGTTGATATGGTAACTCCCTATTCTATATTCCTTATGTACCAGATTCGAATCTCGGCTGCCGTGGGAAAGGTGTATTGTAGTTTCTGTTATTCCCACTAGGTGAGTACCGTGACCGTGCCTTAAAATAGGCCACTACTATCCCCATCCAGACCCTTACTAACTCACAAATTCTAATCTGACGCTTTATAACGCTTGCAGTTTGGACAGGGTTATTAAACAACAGAAGAATCAAGCAATTAGGACTTCCCCTTTCTGGCAGCCTTACATTACAACGGAACACGTATTCTATTTTTCGAGTAGACCCACGTTCTAGCAATATTTCTGTTATTCTTCATTGTTTGCCAATTTTTTAAGTCTTCTAATATTCAGATTTGGACAAAAAACATGTAATGTTTATGAGGAGAATTAATCATACGGATATTTCTATCTCTCTGTGGCTCTAGAGCCCTTGTGGGCCTTGGCCACTTTTTAACTTTCATAATCTATACACAGTCGGCAGACTTCTTGGACGAGGGATCAACCCGTCTCAAGGCCGCCAACTACACACAGAACACAAACATATACAGACATCCTAGCCTCGAGTGGTTTTCGAATCCACGATTCCAGCGTTCGAGCGGACGAAGACAGTTCATGCCTTATAGAACGCGCGGCCACTGTCTTCGCCGGATCTTCTGAGTACTGCACGTTAAAGTCACTGCCTTTTGTCTTCCTGCTTAAAGTTGAAGGAAGTCACGTTTTAGGTTAAGGACGAAGAAGTGTGTGCCACATTTTATTAACTCTGCAGATAGAATACATGCATGGAACTATGGAGAATTATTCTCGGAATTGCAGAACCCCAGAATATCTGGGAAATCATTTCAGAGAGAGAAGGGGGGGGGCATACAGATAGTTCAGAAAAATTCTTTGGATACAGCGCCCTTGCTTTTCTTACAGTCTTCATGCGTTCTATGCATGAAGTGCATTCAACGAACTCTGAATGGGAGAGCCGTGTGTGTTTATTCCGGACATTTACTCTCCAAAACAACTGAATGGATTTACTAGATTAAACCTGATAGATTAATTGTCACACTGGATTACGGCATCTGTGATTTTTGCCTTGTGGAGGAGCGACTGAGGCTGTCGCCCTCCCCCCCCCAAAAAACAAATAGAAATCAACAGAGTTCAATGAGACATTTGCTTCTCTAAAATCATGAAAAGTTAGTTCGTATTTTTAATTCTTGTAAGAAATAAGAACAAAAAGTATTGTCATAACCTACGTTTGTTTTTACTGATAAGGGTCTCCACATTTTGATTTCCCCAGGGCCCCCACAACTGTAAATCCGACCCTGATTAGCTTCAAGGGAAGGCATTTCTATGCGTTGCAGTAAATAAAGACTAGACTAGCAAGGAATGAGAAATCCTAAAGAACGCATTTTGAAGACATGCCTACTGCAAGAGGAGTACCGCTTTCTAGGTGCGTGATCCCTTCCAGTTATTTCATGAACCTCGATGAAGTGTCTGCGTGTCCGTTTTGATTTACTTACTCTGACAGCTGAGACGTCAAAGGCGCGCACTGTGACTACCTGTATACTGGGATCACGGATTCAGATGTCGATCAAGGCATGGAATGTATGAGTTCTCAGTGCTCTTGGGATGGGGTGGCCGTTGTCTAAGGTCGAATAGGTATACCGCCTGAATTAATAGACATTATCGGAGACAATATGGAGTTGGACTATAATGCCAATGGAGAAAAAGATTTGAAGACATAAACACTTTCCCCACTGTTTTTGTCCATAGTGAAATGACAGGAGATCATGTGTTCTACTCACGCAAGGCTGGAGGTTTTTGTGTTTGTCAGACCGACTCTTGAGTTCCATCCGGCTGATCTCTCTTTCCCTGGAGGTAAAATCTACTAAACCTGAGGCCGATTACTCACCATCGTGTCAACCTGAAGTCCAGAAGCATTTAAGCTTTACCTCCACGCCCTCTGTACGCCATAATGTCGTGGTTTTGAGGTGATGAGACACAGAAATGCTTTATGTTTCTTTGGTCTGCTATGGGCAGGATTTGAGTCCGTGGTTTAGAGCAGGAAGGATGCGAGTAGGCAGCTGCTTGTTATTCTGAGAGCATCCTCCCTAGGGCTCGACTAACAAGAACAGATGCGCTTACCTTGCCGCCCAGGGAGGCTTGCACAAATTACAATTGACACAAATGAATGCTGCTAGCGACGAAACCTGCTAATTCATTACATGCAATTAGAAGCATCTTGTTTGTGTTAATTAGTTTCATTTTGAGATGTATTGGCCTGGGCGCTTACTGTTGCATCCTGTCTAATTCAAACGCCAGTATCCATGCGATCCCTGCCGCATGAGGTGGATGTTTGCCAGCCTCAGAGTCTTAATATTACCGCATTGTTATTGAATTTCTTCTGATGTAAAAAGCCAAGAAGGAAATTTAAAGAACTTCTGTGTCATATAGTTATACTTGGAGTTTCAAAACACGTCTTGGTTTACCTCTTTACAAAATACTGCACTGCTCTCATTCGTTATATTCATCCATTCATTCGGAAACCCATCAGATTATCTAAACGCAGTTTCTGTTACACTCTGATGAAAATAAATTATTCATAATGAAATTCTACGTATAGTGTACTTAACCTTCCCACCATAGATAATAAATTGTTAGAAATTTTCGTCATATTTCAGGGGTATTGTCAGTTCACGAAATGGCTGCTGATAACGAGGTTTATCTTAAAGTGTTGTATAGAGTGCTTAACGCCTGAGGAGGAACCAGTGGGAAATGTTCACAGTCATCTGAAAAACGTTTGCAGACATTCTGCTATCGATGGTAACGCAATTGGATTCTTGTCGAAACGTGCGAGATTATCGGAACTTGCGAACCACAGCCTTCGTGATGGGCCCTGCAGGGGCCACTCAACCACAGCCTTCGTGATGGGCCCTGCAGGGGCCACTCAACCACAACCTTCGTGATGGGCCCTGCAGGGGCCACTCAACCTCAGCCTTCGTGATGGGCCCTGCAGGGGCCACTCAACCTCAGCCTTGACACCCGTGTGATTCCGGAGAAAGGAACGGCTGTCAATTCTGTGGCATATGTTGCTAGTCTGCAGAGACTGAAGAGCCGAATGCTTCGATTTCGGCCCGAAAATGAAAAATGTCCTCCTGTTACATGACATCGTAAGACTGTACACTAGCGAACAACAGATGCCATCACAAAACTGCGTCGGGCTGTTATCCCATCCACCATACAGCCCAGATATGGCACCATCAGATTTTCATCGTACTGGTCCACTGAAGAATGTCATTCGCGGACAAATTTTGGAGATGACGATGCGGTCATTGCGGAAATGATAATGAATCGCTCCAACAGATCCTGAAGAACTTCTGCCGACAGTGAATAGAGGCTCATATTTCCAGGCGGCGTAACGCCATCAAAAAAAGTGTTCAGAAAAATAGCTTGCATGTATCTCTGTTGTGTAGGTAATGTTTTGACATGAAAATTACGACGGAAAACGTTTTGAGTTACCCTCATACTTGATGAGTCTGCGCGTGTATTTTCTTCATTCGACGTATGTCGAATCACGACAAAGGTTGTGGATGAACTGAGGAATACAACGAACAGTCTTATCAGAAACCATTACCTGTGCGATGTTGCTAAAATTAAATAAATAACCGAAGGAACACGAGAGAAGAGGAAGGTACACATTCCATCCTCTTCATGCTCCAGTCTAAAATGCTAAATGCGGCACTCCATGGTCCGGCACGATTCCTGGACGGCCAGTTCCCACCGCTCGCGCAAGGTGTCCATGGTTCGCCGTAGTTTGTTGCACATGTAAGCCATGGCACGGAGTGCGCACAGCTGTCACATCAGTATTTTGCTTTGTACATTCTTTGTTGGTTGTCCCTAAATGTAGATTATTAAGCTGTTTTGATACCGTAATACTCGTATATTAAGCACCCGTGGTTCGGAACATTCTCTGGTCCGGCTTCCGTCTGGCCCCAGGGGTGCCGGACTTGAGATGTCCACCATATATTTTGAATCTTGGCGGACAGACAGAGCGAAAATCATCAAACCGTGGCTTAAAAAACGATCCAAAATACACTAAATCCAACGATCATTATCACAAAATGTTTTGTCAGTCAGTAGCCGAAGTTTTTGTTCTTGAGTTACTTAACAGTACTCCTTCAAGTGTGCAGTTTATGTAGCATTGAATGGAATTCAGAGATGATCGTAAATAATAAGAAATTGATTATTTGGAAGGAGACAGTCATGACCGATATGATTTTAGGCCTAGATATAGTTAATTCTAATTGTGATTTCATAGTTTCATTGGGTTCTTCGCGTCAGTTGCTAAGACTTCTGCCTCGCTTTCCACGTCGTCGTTGCAGTAATCCTCCAGTTGTACGTCATATAACTGTCGAGTGAGCGTAGTTAATAAATTACGGAATTATCCTAATGTTCACTGAGTTTTCTAGGCAGCGCAGCCATGAAGCAGACTTACGCTTTGTGGGTGGGCCCTATTTGACTGGAGGAGGGTCCAGCTCGTTCAACAGACTTCGCGGTCGCAAAAGTACAAAAATCCCCTTGTAACATTCCTCATTAAACCCCAAATAATATGTACATTACTAGACAGAATATTCTATGGTGCCCATAACACCAATCGCCTGTCGGAGGGTACATTTCAGTGTGCATGTGGCTTTCAGATCCTTTTGTCTCAGCAGGTGCAGCGGCAGTGTGCGCCGTGGAGGCCGCAATGATGACCCTACACAGCTGATAGGGACGCTTCAAATGACGGAGCTTGTAGGAGCCGTTTCCATGTTATACGGCATGTTGCTTCACCAAGGCGCACCTCCCAGGGGCTCTGCTTCCCCGCCCCCTGCCCTTCCGTCACATACAATTGCAGTCACCATAGCTACGATACGTCTTCTGAACCGAGTGGCAGAGCTTGACCTGCTGATGTTTCAAGTAAGTTTATCTAGAATTTCCTATACAAAATTGTTGTATATTAAGAAGATCTGTTACAGTACGTAACTAGAAGATCTTACATTAAATGGCGCTAATGTTTCTTCAATGCCTTGAGCATGAAGTGCTACGATTTGATGACGGAGTTAAAGAGGAGTGAGATTGGTTGACCACTGGCATACTCTGCGTATCGAGTTACTCAAGTCCATCGGTTATTGTCTGTAATATTAATATTTGTAATTGAATCACGTAATATTGGTACACAGCTTGTTATTATGATTCCAAAGAAGAAGTTTTCTTCTGGAACCCTCCTGAATGGTTCCCAATTAGGTCATTGAATTATTCAATTGATCTAATCCTTCCAGCCGCACTATGGCACTATGAGTCGACCAGCCTGTAACAGAATTGAGAACAAGGAATCTTGCTGGGGGTAAAGGGCGGCCGTCTGAGCCGATTGTTTAGAAAATATGGGAGCCTCGACGTCTCACAACCCTGTTGTCCTCCATGGGCTGTTACAGGGATAGCTTTACCCTTTTTTTTACCCTTCTGAATGGTGTGTTCAGATATGAAGATGCCTCGGGTCTGATCACTTAAAATCTTCCTTTGTTAGACTGTTGAAGGCTTGCTTTAGATTTGAATTATGGTTTTCTTTGATTTGACGCCATGTAGCTTGGTCACATCTTATAGAACCGGAAGTTTAATATTCATTGCCGTGATAACTTCAGATCCTTTCAATTGGATTGTTCTGAAACATACAGGCTTCAGTTTTTTTTTTTTGCGATCTTTACGAAGTAAAAAGAAACAGTGGCTTATATGGAGGTCGGCCATGTCTGTCCACCTACCTGTGACCTAGTAGCAGCACAGTAACCAATGGAGTCCAGTTTTCATCCCTAGTGACGCATAATATAGCTTGTTTTACATAGGGTCATAAAAATGGACTTTTCATTTATGTTATACACTGTTATTCAAATTGTTAACTCCAATATGAGAGATTGATAAAGTTTGATTAAAAAGGATGCTTTACGTAAGGTAAATGAACATTTTTTATGTATATCATCAACCGTTATACAAGTTTTGTTGAAATTCGATATTAGAACTCTTTGAATAACGTCCGATGGAGGCTTTTATTTTTAGTCATGCTGACCGATTACAAAGCCTGCTTTACGTAGTGCCGTGTGTGGACTTTTCCATATAACCAATGAACCATTTCCAGATTTTGTTGTAATTTGATACTATTTATTATTATGCTGCTAAAATGTAAATTTTCCTTATTTAATATAATATATTTTCTGTTTTGCTGAAATTTCGTTTATAACCCAGTCAGAAGTAGGCTTGATGCACTACAAAGAACTCCACTGGAAATTTTGTGTAGTACATTATGTTTCTAATGTTGCTGCTATATTTTCTTTGTAAACTGTTTGAAGTAAAAGTATAATGCTGAAGTCATGTCTGCCTCTTCCTCTGCATACGTGTCTCATATGTCGTTGGCAGAAGTGCTGAATGGATTTCGATTATACTTGATATTGAGTGCGTTTAAACCGGCANTCTCATATGTCGTTGGCAGAAGTGCTGAATGGATTTCGATTATACTTGATATTGAGTGCGTTTAAACCGGCAGATGTTTAGCTAACTTACTTTTGACCAATTCAGTATTACTTTATATGAAGTTTATATCGAAAAATATCATTTTATGACGAAAAATAAATATATTGTGACCAAAATGTTGCCACATAACAAAAACTGTAATTTCTGTTAAGATCTATAACTTTTATTTGAAATACTTTTCAGTAAATTATAATGTGCGCTTAATGAAAAATGCAAAGTGTTTATGGTGTCTGAAATTGATCTGTTATGCCATTCTTCGTGCAGAAAGTGGACCCATATTTTTATCGGGAATAAACGAATATGAAGGCTATTCATGTATATAGAGCCACAAAGAACCGATTTGAAAAATTGTGTCTGCTCGTCACTGGCACGGATCTTCCCACATTTGTCTTTCTATTTGGAGTTTTTCCTTTATTTTATTCTATTTGTGTACATTTTTAAAATTAATGTGCTTAATCCAGTTTGTGTTTAATATTGTGGCTCGTGAAGACTCGTTTCATATGAAGTATGGCGACAAATCTTAAATGATGAAGACTGCAGTATATATTCACCTTTCTCATATTCACCAAACCGATTTCATGGATCTTTTTCTTAGCGCTCTGGGTGGGCTTTCGTCATCTTGCAGTATTAGTGCAATCAGTGCTTCGTTATAAGCCATTCATTTTCCCTTGAGAGATCCAGATAAAATTACTAATATACAATAGGCGTATAGCACGCAATGGTCGTTATTGATACTGACATAACGGCTCTGTAGTCAAACTGCTGCCAAGTTTATTCTCACACATTGTTAAGAGCGAAGAGAGAGAGAAAAAAAGAGCTATGTCCCCTACACTCCCGCGTGATATTTGCTGTCTGTATGATACATTCTGTCAGGATCACTGTAAATATATTGTCGCGTGTGGCCTAGATAACGCGACAAGTAAATTCACGCGGGTCTCGGGTTTGACCAAGACGTTAATTAGACAATCTCTTTCACACTCGCAAGTGCGATTATTCACAACTTCACTATCACAATCACTTGCACCGCTGATTTTGGTGAAGTGTCTTCTGTACTTTGTCGGATGTGAGCTTGCTTCTGCTCTAGTAGGAGCTACACTGACTGGTTTCGTCGAAGCTGGACTCTTATATCGTGCACTCGGACTGAATAGAGCGCACCATGTTCTAGGTTTCGGTTTCCCCCGCTGTTGCGCAACGAACGCAGGAATACGTTAGCTGGCATATTCTTTGCCATGGATATCCTTCCGTTTCCGGGGTAACACTTTTGTTGTTTAAGCTATTCCTAGGCAACGCCCTGCTGGTATTGCGTTTCCACTGAATATATATGTTTATCGCAGCCGTTGTCATGCAACTGCCTGGAGCAATTCATTTCTTAAGTTTGCTAGCTTTCGGATTCCAAGGTGTTGCAGTTGGAACGCTGGTCGTTACCTAGGAAATCAACTCTGATCTCCTCAACCATTCCGGCTTTCTGGCGGCACGCCACAACATTAAGGAATAGTCTCTTAAGATCCATCATAAGTTCCTTATACCAGGGCGTGGAATGAAATTGGGGTTGTTAGAAATGTTTTCATAATGAAAAAAAATAATATCTATGTTTTTTTGTAGGAGGGCTCTTAAAGCTTTAGTTTCCCAATCCACTTCTGCTCCAGAAATAAAATACTGAGAGAAGCAGTTGACTTCTTACAGAGTCAGTTGTGGAATGCGCTGGGATCGAATTCGGTTCACTTGAATGGACAACGATGTGACACAATTCGGGTTGCGCTCAAATTAAAACTGACGGTGTTTATGAATAATTTTTAATATTTTTCTTAGTCGAAATTCATGTTTGCTCTTACCTTCTGACTTTGTAGAAGTGAGCTTCATATCTGCTCATGAGTTTCAGCCTCTGTACGTTTTTCTTTAAATTTATGGGGGGAAAAAATATATCAGGTCGGAAATGACATTGGCATTATTCAGCAAGCGTCTGGACTTGAACTCAGACCACTTGTAAACATTTTTGAACATTTTCGTTGTCTCCGTATATTGGGGAATGAAACTCTGCTCCAAGCTTCCTTAGAACTAACTGGATCGCGACGTATCAGAGGATTAACGAAAGTTTTACGAAGATCGACTGTTGGACCTCTTGCTCGCCCACACAGACCCACGTACATGCATATACGCTTATGTGTTAAGCAACTGGCTGAAGTTTTCCATCTTCGCCTGTGGGGGGGTTCTTGAAATAAGATGTAGGCTTATTTTTTTTTTCCTTGGCACTACAGCTCCAGTGTGCCTAGTCCTACCTCCATGAACTTCTCCGTTCGCTTCGGTTTTTCTAGATCTTACACATTCGGTAGGGCTCCTAGGGAGAGTGATCAGCTCGTCGCAAGGCCTCTACCTGTAGACAAACACAGAAAGACGCACACAAACATCCATGCCCTGAGTGGGATTCGAACCCACGATCCCGGCTTCCGAGCGAGCGAAGACAGTGCATGCCTTAGACCGCTCGGCTACCGTGACCGGCAAGATGTAGGCTTATAGAAGTTACTAAACGGGGCTACTTTTTTCTTATGCGCCACAGCTTTAGACCCCATTTATACCGGTAACGCACTAGACTCGGGTCGTACGCTGTACCCTTCAGCTGTACTTCAGTCGGGCTGCCGTCCTTCCTGAGCGAGATTTCCTTATGGTTCATCTTAGCCCCTTCAGGTAGATTTCGGGATAGCGCGTCTAATAGACCACGGCCGCAGTCTTACTGCTTTCTAGTTTATCAGTCTTCATGTAATTCGGTGAGTGTACCGTATACTCCACATATTATCATCGTAACAGGAGAAAACATGTCTTTAATATGAAGAAAGCCGTCTTCTGGGATGTGACGCCGTGTAGATATTGTATTGACTGACGTTTCGGAGGAACGTATCGCCTCCATCTTCAGGGTATAAAAATCCGCGAGCGAGGAACCAGCGTGAGCAGGTGGTTGCAGCACGGCACCCCATCCCAGAAGACGGCATTCTTCATAGTCACCGCCGTGAACACCTCAAATCTTACATATCTTGAATATACTTATTTGAACTTAATTCTTGTAACCTCGTGTTGGGGCTTATTAGGTCATACTTGATATGCACATTTAACTTAATCAACCTGAACAATTTAAACTGTAATAAGGCAATTAGCTGCCAACGCATTCAAGTCAAAGCAGTGTAGTGGAAAATACTAGTCTATTATTTACCGCCCGCCGGTCACGGTACCCGAGCGTTCTAAGGGTTGCACTGTCTTCGCTCGGTCGGAAGCCGGGGTCATGGGTTCGAATCCCACTCAGGGCATGGATGTTTAGTGTCTGTGCGTTTTTCTATGTACGTGTACAGGTAGAGGCCTTGCGACGAGCTGATCACCCGCCCAAGAAATCCTACCGAATGTCTAAGTAA